TTGTTGCACCGTTATTGTTGCTATTTCAGGTCCATTTTTTATCAAAATGGGCCAATGGATAATGTAGATTGGCAAACTGGCAATTGTGTGTAAGCTTGTCGAGACCTCCTGGAGGTGGTGATCGAGCTGTTCCATCTAAACCTTCCTACCTTGGACAGAATGAAAAGGAAGCAGGCTGTGATGGGGAAAAAAACTGTTGGCAAAAATCCACTTAAAGTGAATATTCCAGTTTTAAGGACTGTATATGAACCATATGTGCTGTCACTCGTGTGTTGCCATGTGCACATGTTAAATCAATCTGACAATTGCTCTGACAGAAATCCTCAGACAGACAGTCTGGGATAAAGGAAACTAAACTACAACTAAAAGATACATTCCAACCGTAAAAGGTGCTTGTGGACTTTGCAGACATGTCAGCCACTCCCTTAAATAGCTGAGAGTGGAGGAGAGGAGTTTATATGAGTTAAATGTGTACCAGATGTTGTCTGTTAATAATCATTCTGCAAATACTGTAAAAGATTTTGGATACAGCCATCTTATAATTACACAATCTCCAAGTAACACATGTGTTATGTGTAGCTATCATGAAATCTACTCATCATTTCACTCCTCAATAATTTAATTATACATATCCCCATACTTAAGGGAAATAAAGCAGAATGAGAAAAGAGAGAAAAATTGTTAAACTGGTCCATGATATTTAATTAATTGCCCCTAAATCTGATAGTTTATTGACTCATTTAGTAATGCTGGTAAAGAACATTTGTAGAAAAAAAAGTATCATGCATAAGCTCTGCATATGTCTGAGAGGAAATAAATCAGTGGAGATGTTTCAGCGTTTTCATAAGTGTTGATGCTGTACAGTAGCAGTGGGCTGCTGTGTGGGCGGCTTCACCAGAGGACAGAAGCGTGGGCTTGTCCTGTGTGCAGTGAATCAGCCTGCTATTAGTGGTACATGTGGGAGCTCTGGCAGACAAGGTCGGCAACTGAAAGTTGCTTATATTTGACGGGTGCACAAAAGTAAATGCAAATGGTTTTTCCATCGCAGTCAGTCTTTGGCGTTGCTCGACACATGTAACCCAGATGTTCGTACATGACCAGAATATCTGACTATTTGGGATCAAATCAACATCCTTTGGAATGAAACTGAAATTTCAAAAGAGGAACATGAGCTGTCACACGAGCATGTTTATCTTGAGCCAAGTTTCCTGTCCCGGGAAAGTCCTTTCCTTCCCTCTGAAAAGTTCCTGAGTCGTGCTGAGTCCAGCTTACTGTCCACATGACACACACACACACACACACACACACACTTTGAAGTGTCTTTTAGTCATAACTTTGCAGGAAGCGAATCCATTTAACAAAACTCTCAGTGCATTTCAATGAACGCTGGTAGCTTCACAAGTTTTCATGGCTGTGAAAATTCTCCACATTACAAGCAAACAACTTTCATTCTTTACTCACACTGAACATGAAAGAACAGTGTAATCCTCAATCAGAGGGTGTATAGGCCTAAAGGTTCGCTCGGCGTAACCCTTATTAACCTTAAAAGGGGGCAGGGAGCATTCCATCCATTTGTGTGGCTGATGAACACAGCCCTTTGAAGAGTATTGAGACGGCCTATTGTTGAACACCATTGTCTGCCTGCTTGCTGCCACGGTAACACTCTCACACTGGCAGCACGATTAAAATGCTGCAGTCAGAGCTGACAAATGCTTACCAGAATATGTGAGAAAAGAAAAGCCTAATTGTACCTTGACTCCACCGAGTGAATAGAAACACAATTTGTCGGATTTTTCACAAGTCATTGCTTCTGTTCCCTGCAAATGACTTTTTGAAAAGAGAGATATCCAAGCCGCCTGCAAGCTTTTTGTTTGTAACTGTGTTCAGTATTCTGAGCTCCTGACATGTAGAAACAAAATGAAGCATCAAAAAAGCAAGATTCCTGAGTAGGGCCATTTCGGTGTTCTTTGCAGAGTGACCTGTTTGCAGAGCATTGTGTGTGTTCGTGCTCATCACTCAGTGTCTCATCTGTATATGTTATCTTTGCCAAGTGTGAGATCAACAACAGAAGACAGAAGAACCACTTGGGTTGTTCATTTGTGCTGGGCCACCTAATATCACCGCATTCAGCACAGAGAGAAAATATTTTTAGGCTTTTGAAAAACGTTTTACCCTTTTTTGGTCCGAACCCTTATCCTGTTGATTTTATTAGAGTGTGGGAACGTCTTTATACTAGTGACATGCATTGCAGTGGATAGTTTAGAAGCTCAGGGGTGAGACAGGTTGGTAAAAGACAGGATTGTGCTCTGGGGTTACGCCAGAAAAGGGCACTTGTGGCATCAATGTCAGGGTCCGATATGTTCTATGTTTGTGAAAGGTTCTTCCTGCACAGTTGTTTCTATGTGTTAGCTTTTCACAAGTGTGCCTTGTTCATGTTTTCCAATGTTTAATATCTCATTAATGAGCTTTAAAAATACAGTTATTCATAATGTAATTTGCGCTCTGTCCAGGCAATGTAGAGCCTGGCTTTGCAGAGAGGCTTGACAAGCTGACTGCACGTCTCTTCTCTTTCAGGCAGGATTAAGTAGGAATGTTTGGCAGAACTGGTGATGACTGGACTGCTGACATATATTTTACACATCCACAAAAGTGCAGTGCTATCATTTCCTATTCTGTTTTCCTTTCTGATAAGGCCCTCTTTTGGCCTGCTTCCCCTGGTCTAGATAGCAATGATGACACTGAATTCCGGATATTGGTGCAAACAGACACCATCTGCTGTCCAAAACAATCAGAATTATTATTATTTTTTATTTTTTTTAAACTAATAGCTGAAAACTGTCTCTTGTTATCCGCACACATTAACATTGAGAGCAACCGTGAACATGTTTCCTTTCAATTCAATTCAATTCAAATCAGCTTTATTGGCATGAATGTATAACAACAATATTGCCAAAGCTATAAATTACATAAGAACAATTAATTTCATACATTTCATTAAATAAGTAAATAAAAAAGTAAAAGTTGTGTTTGTGTGTGTTAATAAAAATTTTAATAATAATAATAAAAAATATAAAAATTCCTGTAAAAATAAAAGTAAATAAAAACCAGAAGCATGTGTTAGAAAATTAAAATATATTAAAAAATTTAAATAAAATAAAATAAATGAAACAGTAACATGTTATATAATAATATATTAAAAATAAAATAAATAGATAAAACCGTAAACATGTGTGTGTTTATATTTACAGACAAAAAATGTAATTAATTAATTAAATTAAAAAATTTAATAAATATAAAAATTGGTATCAAATGTGAAATTTAAAAACAAAATCAACCAATCAAAATAATAATAATTTGAAAATTAGTACAATTATTTAACTGAGTTGTCCTCAGTTCGTGGCATGAGGAGATATATTTTGCAGCAATTAAAAGTGCAGCTCTGTCTCTACCTGTCCTCTGTCACCTTTCTTTCCTCCACAGCCATCATGTCAGGGAAGTCAGATGGGAAAAAAAAGTGGGCAGCAGTCAGGGGTCGCTTGGGCTCCTCGCAGGACTCGGATACCGCGCCGGAGGCCAACCTGGAGAGTGCTGACCCAGAGCTGTGCATCAGGCTGCTGCAAGTTCCCACTGTGGTCAACTACTCGGGGCTGAAGCGTCGCCTGGAGGGCAGCGACCAGACATGGATGGTCCAGTTCCTGGAGCTGAGCGGGTTGGATCTCCTCCTGGAGGCCCTGGACCGGCTCTCAGGGCGGGGGTGTTCTCGCATTGCAGACGCCCTCCTGCAGCTTACCTGCGTCAGCTGCGTCCGCGCGGTCATGAACTCCTCTGCAGGGATCCACTTCATTATAGAGAATGAGGGACACATTCGGAAGCTCTCCCAAGGTTCCACCATACCCTTCATTTTAAATCATCACATCTACTTTCTCCATGTAGTGTTCATATGATTATGTCTCAGAGTAGCCTCACACATGAAAAGACAAAATACAATATATTTAAATTAAACTGTTCATTAAAAAAGAAAGCCATTTCATGGTTAAGGACCTAAGGTGCCACTTGTTTTTTTACATATAAGGTAACATTTGTAATATTGTTTAGTTGGTCAAAACTCAGGTGATTAAATGGTTCCCTGACTCACTCTGCTGAGCTGAATTTCCAGGGCATGTACTGCTGTATGTACAAAGAAGAATCAGTGTCTTGTGTACATTGGATTTCAAACGCACATACACGTGTTTACGTGCCACATCTTCAGAGGGCAAAGTTCAAGTTGAGTTCAGTTGGTGAAACAAAGCATCCTGCTCAGGTGTAGACAAGAGAGGCAAAAAGGAAGAGATAGCAGAGATAGGGGGTTTGCTTTAAGAGAAACATGGAAGAAATTGATGGGAAATGTGAGAACTCTACCTTTATTGATGTGTGTGATCACATTGCTCCACAGCCTTGGACACTTCCAACACCATGGTGAAGAAGCAGGTTTTTGATCTCCTTGCCGCCCTCAGCATGTTCTCTGCAGATGGCCATCGACTGGCACTGGATTCCCTGGATCACTACAAGGCAAGTAGATGAACATGTAGAAGAGTCATGCTTCTACCGTTGTTTTTGAAATGTTAAGTTGTTGGAGGATTTACCTCACATGATTCCACATCTCCGAATAATAAATCCCCTAATGCTGCCCTCTAGTGGTGGGTTGCATGAACAGGCATTATAGTGCTGTAGAATCACAGTCTTCCTCAATGATACTAAGGTGATTATTGACATCTGAATTTCCCCTTCAGGGCGTGAAGACGCAGCAGTATCGCTTCAGTGGGATCATGAATGAGCTGCAGGCCACAGATAATGTCCCTTACATGGTTACACTCCTCAGTGTCATCAACGCCCTCATCTTCGGGACAGATGACCTCAGGAAGAGAGATAAGATGAGAAAGGAGTTTATCGGTAGGTGCTCTTTTCAGCTGCTGTTGGACAATTAATCAGGAGTCTAGAGGCACATGAGTAAGGTGACGCTGTGGTAATCTGTGTTTCCCCCTCTAAGTGAATGCAGAGGGGGAATCAGGCCATCTGCAGGAGCTCTATTACAAATATCTCTGTCACTGGGTCTGTCTAAGAATAGGTCTAATGGCCTCATTCTCACTTTGACAAAATGCCTGAGAACTAAGCAAACCTCAAGTGGATAAAGAATTGTGTATTCATGCATTTTGCACCATCACTAGTGACTATCAAAAGTTTAAGTTTGAAGAAATTAATCTATCTCAATGAAACTCACTATTTATATTTTTATCTATACTACTGGACAAAAGCAGGATTAACCTCATACTGATAGTTCAGACATGAAACCAGGACCTTTTTACCCTATGAGGCATCAGTGTTAAGTGCTGAGCTATCAAGCTGCCTGAAGATCACCACGGTTGTGAAAGTTTAACAAATATGTCAGAGTTGCATCGATGTAAACCCTCCCAAATTCATTAAAATGCCACCCACCACCTTTCGACCAATCAGCTATTTGTTTGGCCACTCCTCTTTTGTGATTGCTCACCTGTGACTTCTTGCCATTACCCCCAAACTAACATATGCTTCTGTGGAGAGATGTGATAGACCTCTTTTAGATGAACCCTTCTTAAAAACTGATAACTGAGTGTTGTGATAGACAGAACTGTGTTTTATTGTTGTCTTGCAGGGCTTCAGTTACTTGATATTCTGCCAAAGTTGAGGTGAGCCTACCACCTGGGATTTACATTTGATTTTTGTCAGCTTCTTAATCTCTGAAGCAGATTTAATGCAACCAGTTATGTTCTATTTAATAAAATCCATAATCATTGCAAGTAAAATGGTGTTTTTAGGAAAAGATCTTAGCAATTTGTGTCCATTAATGACAGTAATTTGTGGCCCTTGCCTTTGCTTTAAAAAAATTGAAAATGACATTTAAATGCGATGAAGTGTCCCCATCAGCGTATTTGTATGTGGGTGGTGTGCAGGGAGCAGGAGGATGAAGACTTGATTATTCAATGTGAAGCTTTTGAAGAGGCAATGGCTGAAGATGAGGAGGAGCTGCTGCGGGTCTATGGGGGCATTGACATGAGTAATCACCTGGAGGTTTTCACTACACTCTTTAACAAGGTCTGACTGGCTTTATCATCCACCACTAAGAACTGAGATAGTTCAGCACATTGGAGACTGATCACGATCATCTTTCTGATTTAAAACAGTTCAATTCATGAAGTTTTTGTGACTGATATAGTCAACATGATAAGCCCTCTTACTTTGTGCGTGTGTTGGTGTGTACAGGTGAGTAGCTCTCCAGCCTCTCTCCAGCTGCTGTCCATCCTGCAGACTTTGTTGGTGCTGGGGCCGGGCCGCTCTGATATCTGGCTGGCTCTGGAGGCCATCACTAATAGAGCCATACTGCTGGCCCAGGACTGTGAGTCAGCACTGAAGCAGCAACACATTCACTTTAGGTCAACACTTTGAAGAGGCTAATGACTAGCTAATGGCCTGCTCTGTGATTCATGTGTGAAAGGGAGTGATTATCCAGGGAAATAGATCATAGAGGCAGCTATTGACAGGATAGCTAAAAGATTTTGTTTTAGAGAGAGTGTGTGTGTGTGTTTGTTTGTTTGTTTCATGTTTTTACCTGAATGCACACTAACCGATGGGGACTCGTGTCACCGTGGGGATAAAAATGTAGGTCCCCACGGGTAGAAACTGCCTTTTGAGGGTGAAGACTTCAAGGTTTTAGGATTCAGGTTACTATTAGGTTAGTGTTAAGGTAAGGGTTAAGCATGAAGTTGTGATGGCTAAGCATTGTATCAATGAGATGACCCCACGGGGATAGAGGAACACACGTGTAAGACGGTGTGTGTGTGTTTGGATTTGTGCTCCAGCTCAGATAGAGTCCTGTGATAAGATCATGCAGCGGCTGATGTTCTCCAAAGGCAAGAGCTGTGAGGGTCATCATGAAGTGGACGGGCAGCTCATGAAAATGCATAAAGCCGTGCAGACTGATCTGGATCATCAGGGCAAAGAAATGTCAGACAAAAGCATAAAGTCCTCTCAGAAGCCGCTGTGTGTCGCTCCTCCCCCTCCACCCCCACCTCCTCCTCTACCACCTAGTATGACTGGGCCCCTGGGCCAGCCTTCTAACCAGTGTCCCCCACCACCTCCTCCTCCACCGCTACCTGGAGGGTTTGGTGGGCCCCCACCACCTCCTCCCTTGCCTGGAATGCAGCCACCACCACCACCACCACCACTGCCCTGTGGCCCAGGCATGTCTGCCCCACCACCTCCTCCACCACTACCTGGAGGGTTTGGTGGACCCCCACCACCACCTCCTTTACCTGGCATGGTGCCTGCTCCTCCTCCTCCCCCAGGCATGGTAGTGGCTCAGAGTAGCCAGGCCCTAGGGTTTGCTGCACCCACAAAGGCAAACAGATGCCCGACCCTGAGGATGAAAAAGCTCAACTGGCAGAAACTCCGCACTGTTACTGGTGAGTGGATAAAACATCCAGTCATTCACTCATTCATTTTATTCATTCAGTCAAAAGTCATGTACCTTTTTTATGAAGGCAGCAAACCCTGGCTGAATATAATTTCAAGAGTGTCAAGTTTGATATACGTATGCTAAGACTAAAAAGTAAAATTTAATAAGGCTTTGCTTCCATCCGTCATGCTGTTTAAATTGAGCTACAGACATAGGCAGAAGGCACCTGTGTAGAGAACTTGACAGGGATGGAACATTCATTGTAACAACAACATCTGAAGGCTAAACAGTCCATTATTTTAAATGTGGGTGATTTAACATGGGTGTTACAGAGGATTCCCCTGAGATTTGAGAGGGAGCAACATCACCTTTTTTTTTTAAACGAGTTTCAGCCACAGTGATACGTTAATTCAAAAAGGAGCCACGTGAGCTCATGACAGGTTCCTCTCTTCCTGCACACTCACAGATGGTCACTCCATGTGGGCCTTGGTTCAGAGAGAGCCTCCTCCTCGGGAGCCGGACTACAGCAGTATTGAGCAGCTGTTCTGTCTCCCAGTGACCGAGCACAAAGACAAGGGGGCAGCTGCTCCTGTCAAGAAGGAGCCTAAAGAGGTGCGCTTGGTCAACACTCAATACAGCTCCTCAGAGCTGTAGCCCTCAGAACAAACAGGCCTGATTATCAAAGCTGTATAATCAATATGCCTCTCTAGCTTGTCTTTTTTTTTCTTTCTATAGATTACATTCATTGATCCAAAGAAAAACCTAAATTTGAACATCTTCCTAAAGCAGTTCAAATGGTAAGATATCACACTTTTTTAAAAGCTATTTTTATATATTGTTGTCTATTTTCCAGCTCAGTATTTTTATTGTCTCTGTCTAGCACGAATGAGGACTTTGTAGCCATGATTCAGAATGGGGATCGTGCTAGGTTTGATGTTGAAGTGCTAAAACAGCTTCTAAAGCTCCTACCAGAGAAGCATGAGGTTTGTACTCAACAACAATTAACAATTCTCCATCCTTACCTAGACACGTTTTTGCACAATTATGCCACACAAGTATGCCATTAAGGGCCCATTTTAAAATGGCAAATGTCTGAGTCACTGTCTTGTTTTTTGTCTTGTTTTTTCAGATTGAAAATTTGAAGTCCTTCCAAGGAGATAAAGACAAGTTGGCAAATGTTGACCGCTTCTACACCTCCCTCCTCACTGTGCCATGGTAACTGGTTTGACTTTTAATTATGTGCGTGCTGTATGCTTGATATTCTCAATCCAGCGTATACTGTCACACTTGGCTCCTTATTTACTTTGCTTTCTGGCTCTGTCTCCTCAGTTATCAGTTGAGGATTGAGTGCATGTTGTTGTGTGAGGAAACTTCATCAGTGTTGGACATGCTGAAACCTAAAGTTAAGCTGGTGGAGGAGGCCTGCCAGTGTAAGTAAAACCTTCAGCTGTATTCACATGCATGCAGTTGCTCCCCCCCCCCCCAAATTAACACATGTAACAAATTTCTCAGCTCTGAAAACGAGCACACTCATGCCCAGTTTCTGCAAGCTCATCCTTGACGTTGGAAATTTTCTCAACTATGTAAGAACCTCTTCGGTCTCATGTATATTTTACTTAAGCTGACATTTAGACAGAGCTTGCATTTTTAATCACCGGTCTACTTCCAGGGAAGTCACACAGGGAATGCCGAGGGGTTCAAGATCAGCTCTCTGCTCAAGCTTACAGAGACCAAGGCCAACAAGAGCCGCATTACGCTGCTTCATCACATCCTGGAGGTACACAAACAGGCTTACATCTGCCATAACCCCCCACTATCCCACCCCCCAGTGATAAACTTGTTTAATAACACACTGTTTGTGGCCTGTTTTGCAAAGGAGGCAGAAGCGAACCACCCGGAGCTCTTGGCGCTGCCAGATGATATAGAGATCTGTGAAAAAGCAGCAGGGTATATAAAAGCATTTCAAATCTACTTCAGCTCCTTTTAAATTGGTCGTAAGTGGGTCTGTAACAGATATATAACAAAAGGTTTTACACTTTGTCCTCAGAGTTAATCTGGACTCTGTTCAGTCAGAAGCCAATGGGCTACTAAAACGACTCAATGACACGGCCAAGAAGGTCTCCAACTCTGTCGAAGAGATGAAGGCGCAATATGCAAAAGTTCTTGAGGTGAGATGATAGTGTGCTTTGCCTACAATGGTCATGTGATCACTCGATACTGTTTTTGAAAGCTAGATCCAAATCCCATATTCCTCAATTTTTTCCTCCATTCACTGCTGCAGGACAGTCTGGAGGCGTGTCAAGCTTTAACAGAGAGGTTTGCTGCCATTGAGAAGCAGAGGAGCGAGCTGGCCGTCTACTTATGTGAAGATGCCAATCAGCTGTCGCTTGAGGAACTCTTTGGAACCATTAGGACTTTCCGAGGACTTTTCATCAGGGCACTCAAGGTCAGGAAGGATACTTTGTTGATGTT